TCCAGAAATATGTGTGATGTGTGTGTGTGTGTGAGAGAGAGAGAGAGAGAAATAGAGAGAGAGAGAGAGAGAGAGAGAGAGAGAGAGAGAGAGAGAGAGAGAGAGGCTGCTCTTCCTTGAGAACCTACACACAGTCCAAGACCTCCCTTTCTGGGCCTCAGTTTCCCATCCTCAGGAAAGGGTGGGAAGGTTGCTGGCTCTAATGGTCAGAGGCTGACACTTCACTGAGTGGTGGCTGAGCCTCTCTCCAGAGGCAGCCCTCACCTCCCGCTCATCCTGGCCCATCTGGCATGAAGCCAGCTCCTGTCAGGCAGGTAGGCATGGGGTTGGGGGCCCAGCTGAGGAGGCAGGAGTGGGATCTGCTCCTCTGGAATAGCAAAGTACACGCACGGGGGTGGGTCCAAGAGGCCACTGTGTTGGTGTGGAGGCAGCTGGGCCAGGGCCTAATTTCTAAGTGAGGGCTGCAGGGGCCCCTGAAGCTGGTGGCCAAATGGTCCTGGTCTCTGAGAGCACCGAAGGACTGGAGCTGCATGTGCGTGCATGTCCACTTGCAAGTGTGTCCATGTGTGCGTGGGTCTGGGCATAGTCGAGGGTGTTGGTGTCTGTGCTCCCACATAGGCTTGTGAGCTGATATATTTGTGTTTCATGCATGTGACAGAAGCAGATTTACTGGCAAGCTCCAGGGCCCTCATTACATGGCCTCTTCCAAGGCTCTGTCTCTAACTAGCAGTCACAATTTTAGTCTTCTTTCCTGAAAAACATTTCCCCTCCTCCTTGTATAAACATTGAGCCCAACACAACCTGAATTTGCCCCAGCATATATTTATATCAGACTGTCACATGTTCACCACGGCTGGGTCTGTGTCTCCCTACCCTGCTTTCATTCCTTCTTCCCCCTTTCCTTTCTTTCTTCACCAATATTTTTGTTCCAGGAACTGGCCCTTCTGGGGCAGAGGCACAGAAATGAAGACACTCCATTCCAGAGAGGTTCAGGGTCCACAGGTGTCCTGGAGCATCCCACCTTTAACCTGGGACTATTAGGACAACTGAGACGGGAAGAAGTGAAGAATCAGCAGGAGTGGGCGGATGCAGGCTGGAGCCTGAGGGAACATGCTGTAGGTGCGCGTCTCTGTGGGCTTATGTCATGTGTGTCTATCTGTGTGAGGCCCTGGCTGCCGGGTGTTTGCATCTCTCTCCATGAGTGCAGCTAAGGGAGAATGCAAATGCGTGTCTGCTGCGCTTGTTGTTGGTCTCGCATGACTTGGAGCGACAGGCCAGGCAGCACTGGGAGCTAGTGAGGTCTCATGGCCAAGGAGCACCCCCAGGGCCCGTCCTTCCCCGCGGAGTAATCCTCTCTTAGAAACCCAGAGATGGGAGCGATGATCTCATACTGTTTCTAGGGGCCCTGCCAACCTCATCTGGCTGAAGCTGCAGCCGGGGCTCTAAAAGTTGTACCCGGAGATTAAGAGATGAACTGATTTCTTACCCTGGTGGCATCACCAGGTCACAGGTTGACTTGGGGTATGGACGGTAGGTCAGGGTGGTCAAGCATGAGTATCAGGTTTCCATGGTAACAGGCCCAGTGAATGTTCAAGGTCAGTAAGACATTGGCAAGTAGTACTGGGGATGGTGCAGTTTTCAAGCCCTACTCATTCCTATTCCGAAGTTGGCTCCAGAGGGCTGGAGAAACCTCCAAGGTCACCTAGAACACCAGTGGTTATTCTCTGCCTACCCCCTACCCCCCAGATCCAGTCACCGCAGTTTTCACCTGATGTGTTCCCACAATGAAGCTGATCCCCGTGGATGCCATCACCTGGGCTTGCTTGGTCTTTGGCTCTCAGTTAGGTTCAGCCAATGGGAGGCAGCCAATGGGAAGCACCAGCAGGCATGAGAGGCGGGAGGAGAGACAAATCAGTGTATTTTCCCCACCTGCTTCTAGTCTGGGCTGTCGCTGTCTCTCTCTAACCACAGTGCTTCTTAGGGAACCCCTGGCCCGTAGCTGCAGCTCTGGGTAGTTCCAGAAATCACTCCTCTCTTCTTCCCTAAGGTTTGGGGAGCAAAGCGTCTCCCCTGTTGCCAGCCCAGGTACAGCAACCATCCCGATTCCCTCCCCATCCCTGCACACAGGCATCTAGGATAAATCCCCCCTTCATTAAACTCTTTTCAATGAATTCTACCGAGTGGGTCCTCTCTTTTCTGCTGGGAAACTGTCCAGTACATACAGTTTCCCAATGTGGTAGGAATAAAACATATACTCTCTTTTCTGCTCGTTCTGGCCTCTAGGTCTTCACAGTTGGAGTTTTCTCTGCGAAGTTAAAAATCATCTCCTCATCAACAAAACAAATAACAAAACATATTTTACATGTTTAGCAGTGCTTGTCACTTATTAGGGGTTTAAGGAATACTAGCTAATATTATTGTTATTGTTACAGTTGTTAAATATGTATAAAGTGGCAGAATACCTGAATGGAATTACAGGGGCTTACTTGAACTTAAAGGGCATGATTTTAATACTGTGTCAATTTAATATTAACTAATATTGAAATATTGGCTCTCTTCCATTTTATTCATCTTTGGTGCATTTCTACAGTTAATATTGCATTCGTATGCCTGTATTTTTCCAAAAAAAAGTGTTATGCTTTGGGGATTTCTTACTCATTTTAGGATGAAATATATTCCAAGATTGCATGAAAGGGGGAAAATCATAAGTATACATACATGTTCAGTAAGTCAGTGTCTTGTTCAATCACAGTGACATTTTAAAATCAGGTATACATGGCTAAAAAAGTGAAAAACAATAATCTCTTCAAAGGTGCCTTCCTGACCTCTGTCTAAATTAGGGGGCCCCATCATTGTCTTCCACCTTCCCTGCTTGTACCTTTCACAGCACTTACATTTTGTAATTATGATTGTTTCCTAGTTTAAGGTTTGTCTCTCCCACTGAAGAGTGAGTTAGACAAAGCATTTCAGATCTTGCCTGCTGGGTTCCCTGCTGTGCCCCCATGCAGCGTCTTAATAAGTACACACACTAGGATGCTGTAACAGAGAGGATCCCAAACACCCAGTCTGAGTAACATAGTTTATTTCTCCCACAGGTAATAGTGTGGGCAGGTGGTCCAGGTTGGCTTGGTAGTTTGAAGGTGATTTGAAGTCTCCAGGCTCCTCAGACCATTTCCTTACTTAGCCACAGAAAGGACAACTTTAAAAACCCTTACCCAGAGTAATTCTACTCTCCTTGACCTCAGCTCTGGGGTCTAGCCTATCCCAGACCACTTTCACCCCAGCAAGAATCCGTGTGGCTTTCCAAACCATAGGGCAAGTTCCCTGAGATGAAAGCCTCTCACAATGACGCAGGGCCACTGCATGCACTTTCTTGTCTGTCATTATCAAATATTACTTTTCTCCAGTGGCTACATCTGTCCACATCCCTGACGTTTGGGCAAGTTATTTCACATTTCTGTGCCTCCATTTCTTCATTTGTAAAATGGGGATACCATAGTTTACCTCCTAGAGTTGTTATAAGGATTAGATAAGCATAAAGCTTTTAGACCTAACACACACTAGGTGGTCATTAAATAATAATCAGCATTACTATCCTGGATTCTGTCAGCTTCCCCATGAGGTAGGTGGGAAGGCATCACCTCATTTTCAGAATGAAAGACCAAAGAGCTGAAGCAATTTGCTCAAGGCCATGGTGCTGGCAGGTGGCCAAGTATAGGTTTACTCCAGACCTGTATCTCAGTTACCTCATGATAAAATTGGGGCGATTATAGCAACCCCCCCACCTAGAATTAAGTTATGAGAATCCAATGCCATCAGCAATCAAGTGACAGGCACACGGAGGGCCCTGTTCAAAGGTCTGTGCCCTTTCCTTTCATGGTGCCCCACCCTGTCACACCAGCACCTTCACGGAGCCACTAGGGATCCCAGCTGCCCTGCTCTTGGCAGCCCTAGGGTCAGCTGCTTCTGTTTGGTTGGCGGGGACAGCTGGGCGGACAGAGAGGCGCATTGTGTCTGTCCTCTGGAGCTCTGTTGTCAGAGCCTTCTCCCTGGGTCCAGCCCCAAGGCACTCCCAGCTGTCGCTTGGGCTTGTCTTGGCTTCTGGGGTGGGGGGAGGGGAAGACAAGGGAGTGTGCAGATACCGGACTGCACCGTGAAGACTGGATGGCCAGCCCGGTTCTGCTGATGAGGAAGCTGAGGCTCAGAGAGCCTAAATGACTTGTGGGGGAGTGCTCGTCTCACGTCAGAGCCACCAAAGATGGAGTGGGGCGTGGGGGCTTCAACCGGGGAGGTGCTTGTGGCCTCAAGTCAGGTAATGGGTTCCCACTGGGCCAAAGATTGAAGGGTCAGAGCACCCGCCCGCCCTCGCTCCTCGCCTCCTTTTGCTCCCAGAAACGGAGACCCTAAAGAGCGGACGCGTGCCCAAGGGCACAGCGAGTTTGCCGCAGAGACGGCAGGGAAGGAGGCGACCCAAATTCCCAGCTTTGCGAGGGCGTAGGAACGCCAAGCGGCGGGACGGGGACACGGGAAACACAGTAGCCCCGCCTCCGGGGCGGGGCGATGCCGCATGTTCCGGCTGTGACGCGCTGTGGTGAAAATTCGCGCGGCCCTCCTCCAGGGGGCGTGGCTTTCCGAGCCAGGCGGGATCCCACTGGGCATTTGTCTGCGGAAGGCAGAACTTCGCGCTTGATGGGCGTAGGGGCGTGGCATCCTTCCGGCGGGCGAGCTCTGGGCGAGATTCCATTCTTCTGCGACGCAGGCGTGGACGCGGCCGGGGCAGAGTCGAACCTGCAGGAGCTCCGCCCCCAGCGGAGGAGGCTGGAGCCAGGGGCGTGTCATGGGCGCCAGGGGCGTGTCATGGGCGGGGTCTCGCCCCGCCCCTCCAGGTCGCGGAGCGTTGGCCTGCGCAGGGAGGGCCCGGCGCCGGGATGTGAGTGCGGCGGGGGTGGAGAGGGGTCGGTGAGGGGCTGGGAGTCTAGCCCCCGGGGTTTCCAGGGGTCCGGGTGGGCGGGAACACGAGTACGCGGGCCACCAAGCGGGCCTGCCAGGTGTATGTCCGGGTATGGTGGGCCAAGGGGCGCTCGGGTGCTGTGCGCCCGTCGACCCCGCGCTACTTTCTGCTGCCTGAGAGACCGAGGCCACCCTCAGGGCCCTACCCGGGCGGGGGCCGGCGACGTACGTGGGTCTGACAGCTGCCCTAACCCGGGTGCCCCCAGCTGTGCGGAGGCCTCAGCAGTGGCAGCAGCGAGAGCCGCCCGCCCGGCGGCTGCAGAGGTGTGATAGGGGTGTCAGCTGCGCGGCAGGGCCCGAGGTGATGCCCATCCCTGTCTCCGGGTTGAGCCACAGCCTGCGGGAGTCCCGACCTGCGGTTTCTGGGAACGGTAACCCCCCACTGCTCAAAGATAGGGTCCTTTCTGTGCTCAGCTATTTAGATGCCTTACCTCAATCCTCACAACAGTCACCCATTTTACAGTTGAGGAAACTGAGGCCTAAGGCCACACAGCTGTTCGTGTAATTGTTAACAGTGTGCTGAGTGAGGCTTGCTGCCAAACTCACCTGGGTGCACATCTGCTGCTCCACAGACCCACTGGGTGACCTTGAGCACACCTGGCCCCTTCTCCAAGCCTCTGGTGGGATGGTGGCACTTACCTCCCAGGGCTACTGTGGGGATTGGTTTGGAGAATGCAGGGAAGGAGCCAGTTGGTGCTGTTGCTAAGTGGCCCTTTTCTGCAGCTAAGGGAGCTAGTGTACTGACTGGGTCAGCGCTGTCCAGTTTATCAAAGCTCATTGGCAGGGAGGGAGTGCTGCTTTCCACACTGAGACAGCTCCTGTCTGTGTCTGTCCCTGTGCACACGGAAGGCCACACACAACCCAGCTGTACCAGCATGTGCCGGAGACACGCTGGCCCATCGTGTACTCGCCGCGCTACAACATAACCTTCATGGGCCTGGAGAAGCTGCACCCCTTTGATGCAGGAAAATGGGGCAAAGTGATCAGCTTCCTAAAAGGTATGGAAGGCCCCGCCTCAGACCCTACATATGCTTTCTCCATCCTGTTGCCCCCAACCCCCTTCCTACTGTCTTCCCCTACCACAAGCTTCAGGCTCTCCCACCTGCAGTCTCAACCCCCAGACTGCTTTCCGCCCATGCTGTCAAAAGAATCTTTCCAAAACAGACTTCTCTGAGCATGATGTGTCCCTGTCTCAAATATTCACTGACTCCCCTTTGCTGTGGGGCTGAGTTCCTGGAGACAGAGTAGAAGGGGAGTTGATTAACTATGTACACAGGGAAGCTGAAGTTTGGAGGATCTAATGTCCATTCTCTACAAACTCAGAGTCCAGGAGGAAGAGAACATTTGCTCCAATCACACTGATTACAAATGGAGGAAATGGGGGCCCAGAAAAGTTAGGAATCATGCCCAGAGTCACACAGCTACTAAGTGACAGAGTTGGGTCTGGAACTCAGAGCTCCAGACTCTCACCCTTCGCGGCTCATTCCGCTGAGCAAGGTATTGATCTGGAGAGCACATTGTTTCAACTCGGGTTTGTCATCCAGGGGTCAGGCTTAGGCAGGAAATTCAAGCATCACAGTAGACTAATGCCAAAATATTCTCCTGTCCCTTGTATAAGGGTTCGTTAATTGAGGCAAGTAGGGAGTGTTGCCTGAAGCAATACTTGGTATAGAATGTGTGTTGAAAATCTTTTAATCTCAACAATCCTTCTGATCACAGCATGGAGGAAGTATCACTTTGGGGCAAGCCTGTCTTTAACACCTAAGCCCATCTCCCTTTTTCACGAATCAAAAGCAAAGGCTCTGTACCTTGCAGAAAGTAGAATCCAATTCAAGATTAATAGCTCTGTTTACTTCTATCATATTTGTTGTTTATTTTTTTTAGTTTTGGTTAACTTGTATTTATAGTAGTTGATAATTATTTTCCATTTACATTAATGACCAGTGTGAATATTCAAAGGAAAATATTAAGTAGAAAAAAATACAAGAGGTGTGCAGAGATGGTGAGGGCCCTGGAGAGGTGAATGGAGCCAGCAGTTCTCCTGCCTTCCTGACTGTGGTCCCTCTTGCTGTGTTTCCAGCAGACCCATCCTGAGTCACTCCCCCTATTTCTCTTTCTTGGGCTCCTATGTCACCCAATAGTTCATCAGAAAGATTCCTTATCTCTCTCAGCTCTGTCCTGACAGTCCTTCTGAGTACCCACCTTTCTCCTCTGAGGCTGTGGGTGGAAGGAGGCAGGGGTCACACGATGAAGGGCCTTGGGTACTGCCAAGGAAAGAGCTCACCCTTTGCTTGAAGGTAGTGGGGAGCCATGGAATGTTGGGGGTTGAGGTGGAGAGGACCTGCTATATGTGGGAAATGTATGGAACTAGTTGGTTTCTACCCAGGTTGGTTTCTAAGGATGCCACGTTAAAATAGGTGCCCTAGATTCTGACCTTGTTCCTTGGATTTCCCTGCAACACAGAGCATCATGGTCCTGTTCTCACTTCCTGCACTTGGCCTCAGTTTATTCTTTAACAAAATGGAGGGACTCTTGTCTGGTGTATGTGAGAGGTGATATAGTAATGCCATGTTTCCCAAACATCAGTTATTTGCAAATCACTCTTGGAAACTTGCCATCTCCTCATACCATTATTTACTTCGTATTTCTTTTTTTTATTGACTTAGCCTCTTTTTTAAAAAACTTAAATGAGTATGTTTTAAAAGGAAACATTATGTCATCTGAATGGGAAAAGTCAGTTTCACTTGCCATAAATAGGTCATGGTGAAAAATAAATGTAATGCAAACTGTAATTCAATGCAGGCTGCTTATTGTTGCCTGCACGCAGGCTGTGAGACTAACTGCTGCTCTTTGGGGTTACAAAGGACGATGAGTGAGGGTCAGGCAGGTGTTGAAGAGAGATCACAGCACACTGAGCCTCCTATGGTGCCATTAGGAGGTGGAGGGAGAATTGCTAAGAGTTTTTCTTGCCTTGAGAGCCAGTCACACCTGAGCTCACCTCTCAGCTGTCAGTGGCTTGGGAGACACGGGGTTGCTGCATGCACAATGTCCAGTACTCCCTGGCCACTGTCCATGCTGGCCTGGGAGGTGGACCATTCTCAGAATGCCCGCAAGCCAGCAATGTCCACCTTCTCCTGGGGCAAGGCTGACAGAAGCTTGAGGTGGGGTCTGGGGCTGGGCCTGCCTTCGAGGTCAGCAAGGGAGCAGGGGGCCTGCTTTGTGGTTTCAGAGGAGAAGCTTCTGTCAGATGGCATGTTGGTGGAGGCGCGCGAGGCCTCAGATGAGGACCTGCTGGTGGTGCACACTCGACGTTATCTCAATGAGCTGAAGGTATGAGCCGTGGGTTTGGGAGGGCTCCCCTGGCCAGGAGCAGTAGCCAGAGGGGTCAGCTCAGCCTGGGGAAGCACCCCTCAAGGAGCTCCATTCCTGTCCCTAGCACAGGGAAGCATGCGAGTCTGTGGTCCCCAGGAGAGAGGTGTCATTAAAAAGGCAGGCTCCTGGGATGGGATGGGCTGCTCCAGGCCTTAAGCTCCCTGTCCCTGGGGTATGAAAGCGGGGGTGTCCACCAGGCAGAGACTGAACCTTCATAGGGGTTTGGGGCTTCCACTTTAGGGACTTTCCATCTGTGCCCAATGGACAGACCTCAGAGACCCCTGCTGGGATGATGGGCAAGGAGACCTTATAGCCTTGTCCCCATCCAACCAAAGCTGTTCCACTTCGGTCTCTTTTTATATTGGGCTGAAGTGTAAGATCCTGTTCTAAGGACTTCTACTGCTAAAGACCTGTTGAAAACTGTTGGGCTGAAAACTGGTTTGAAATCCCCAGGGCCCAGCAAGGCACATAAACAAGTGATCAGGCAGGTGGTGGTGGTATATGAGGTGAACTGGAGAACCCTTCCCTTCCCAAGGGGGCTGCTGCTCAGCTCACTGAGGGCCCAGTATGGCCAGGGTACCTGGTTTGGAATGAGAAATCGGAAATGCAGATAATTAAGCAACCATTCCTGGTTTCTTAACGTGGCAACTCATTTTAAATCCTACGTACAAACTGAATTGGGCCTACAGGCTGCCCGCACATGACATCTTTCTAGAGGAGCCCACAAAGCTCTCACCAATGGCTGAGGTTCTGAGAGTGAGGGCCCCTATGTGGGAGCAGAGGTGAGGCTGGGCTGGGGTCTGCATCAGAACTTGGTGGGGGTGGGGTCAGGGATGCTACAGGTTCTCTGCCTCCAAGAGTGTGGTACCCTGGCCCTCTTCCCAGCTGCACTCATTTTGGACTAAGTCATAGTGGATGCCAGAGGTCGCTAGGCTTCCCCCATCAGCAGGTGGAAAAGCCTAGACCCAGAAAGAGGCTGAACCTGCTCAAGGCCCACTGGAAAATTAGGCAGTCCTCAGGGACACCCCAGGCAGGGTGTCCAGTCCAGTCTTCCAGGTTGCTGGTCACAGCTGCTGCGTTCCCTCCTCCCCGACTCCAGCTTGAGCTGCGAGAATTCCAGATGAAGCTGGGACAGTGTGAGCTCATGAGAGATTACCAGGAAGAGGTTGAAACCTGGCTCCTGGGAGAGAGAGGTGTGTGAGGCCTTGGCAGGACGCCCAGCACTTTGGCTGCCCTGGTTTCCTGGGGCCTGGATATGCATGATCACAGTCCACAACCCAGGGAGTGGGCCAAGACATGCCTGCCAGAGTCCAGAGGGTGAGGGCAGGGGACAGGGAGAGACCAGAACAGAGTGGGGCCAGGGAGGAATGAGCAGGCCAGGATACAGCTGGGGATAGGCCATAAGGCTCCAGGGCCCCATTCATTTGAGGGGCTTTAGGGCAACTGTGCAGGGCTAACTGTGTGCCTGGCCCAAAAGCCTAAAGGCAGCTTACTATGTGATAAATAATAATTTAAGAAATATTAACAGGTGGAGTCCCAAGCAGAAAATTGAGGTCAAGGGCAGGAAGAGATTTCAGATATTCCAAAGGGAATTTGAATAACTCAGATGTTATGATCAAGTTCCTTACTTGGCTTTTGGAGCTTCCTGGCAGCCAGAGCAAAAGGAGAAACATGATTTGCAGAGTACCGAGGGGAAGACGTGTTCAGGCATTGAACATATCTGTATCAAATATTGACTGTGTACTGGGAACAAAAAGAATAAGCAAGATTCCCTGCTCCCATGAGTTTGCATTTTCACTGTAGAAGCCTGAAAATGAAGAAGCAATCCCATGAACATTTTAGAGAGTACTCAGGGCTATGAAGAAAAAAAAAGGGTAACTGGGCAAAAGTATGCTCATTTAGACTGGGTGGTCAGGGAGGGCCTCACAGAGGAGGTGAGGTTCAAGCTGAGACTAAAAAATGAAGAGTAGGTGACATCCATGTGGAGCTCTGAAGGAAGAACATCCCAGAGTCACAGGCCTGGGAGGGGAGGGGACTCAGCCCCTTGAAGGGGAGAAGGATGCTTGAGTGCCCAGGGAAGAAAACACTGAGGTGGCACATGATGTAGTCAGGAAGGCCAGCAGTGCCAGGCCACACAGGGTCTTGCAGGCCATGGGAGGAGTTTGGATTTTGTTCCAGGTATGAGGGGAGAGTGTGTGGTGTGATGTGCCCTTGACATTCAGGCATCATCTGACATCCAGGATAATTCCGTGGCACTTAGGGAAGCCTGGGGGCCCAGCACATCTGGACCCTAGCAGAATGCCTCGCCTGTGGTCTAAGCCACTGTGGCCCCTTTGGGGGCTGACATGGGCGCTGCCTGCCTTCTGGACCCAGCTTGTGTGGGTGGCCCTGTAAGGCTCCTGCCAGCCCTTCGCAGGCATATGTCCTTTCCCTCGCCTCTGCGTTTCCCTTCCACTTGCTGAACATGCTCAGGCCTCTCCCATCCCAGGCTCCTCCCCTGGTCGGTGTACACCGTGGCCGCACTTCCCATTACCTCTCATGGATGCCTTGGCGGCCTCAGCGCCTCTTCACTCACTCCTGCTGAAACCCTCACTCTGCCTGGCCTCCTGAGCATCATGCCTCTGCCCCCCCAGGCACCCCCACTGTCCCAGGACAGCCCTCGATTGTCCCCGTGGGCTCCAGTCTGGCCCTTGCTCTTCAGTGTTGGGGTCCTGGGGTTCTGAACTTGTACCCTGGACTCTGCCGTCTGCCTGTCCCCCACATGCTCTCTGTTGACCATGCCCATCTCACCTTCCCCAGACCCTGTTTATCTCTCACTTCCTCCCTGGGGCGGGTGCTTCTATTCCTGTTCCTCTAATTGGTTCTGTGGCTGCAGCTAGAGCTTGGAAAGCACCGTCTGATGGCTCTCTGCCGCTCTGACCAGGCTGTCTGGGAGCCTCATCTGGCAGACAAGGCCCTGCATGATAGGCATGGCCCGGGCCCAGCTGCTCCCAGCTTCTCCTGAACATGCACTAGCTTTTCCCCTGCCAGCAGCTTTCTTTTCACCTTGATAACTTGTCACATATGGACAACTCCTGTTCCCCTGGAGTCTCAGCTTTGGTGTCACCACCCCCAGAAAGCCTGTCTGCCCCCACGCCCAACCAGACCATGTTCTCCATTGCTTGTCACGTTGCATATAGGCACTTCCCCACAAGGGTGCAAGCATCTTGATGTGAGGACGACTAGTCTCCCCCTCAGAGCCAGGCACTGAGCATATATTTACAAAGTGCTCTGGGCCCCTCTGAAGCTCTGCCTGGAGAGCAGGGAGCATGGGCCTCAGTGCATTCTTAGCCAGGCAGGAGATGGTTCCGGATCTGGGTGCCTGGGCATTTGCCCAGGGGTGTGGGGGTCCTGGGGAAAGCTGTGTCCTGATCTTGGCACACATGCCTTTTGGGTGTTACTGACTTCCAGCCTCAAAAGCCAGAGACGAGGGCCTGGTGTCCCTTTTGAAGAAAGGTCCCATTCCCAGTGGATGAAGAGGCTACACTGGGGAAGCAGGAGACCTGGGCTGCGGTCCTGGCTGTCAGTGACTCACTGTGTGACCTTGAGAGAGAGATTCTCCCTGCCCAGGGCCGCAGTCTCCCCTCTGTGCCTGGGCCGCTTCTGGGCCTGGACTACTGTCTCTGCAGCTCTTGTTTTGGGCACAAGAGGGCAGCCAAGGGCTTCAGAGCCCTGAAGACTGTGGGCCAGCTTGGCTTTAAGACCAGGTGGTGTGTACACTTGCCCTCACTGAGCCGGGGCTCGGTGGGGGCCAAATGGGTGGAGGGCTCTCATTTCTTATCAAAGGAACTGCATTTGACCGGGAGCTCACCCAGGGCACCTTGAAACTGGCATTAGAGGTAATCTGGTTTCCTATTTCTGTCTCTGAGCTCTGGGCATGGCAGTGGGAGCCCAGTGGCCTGTGTCTCTGTCCACAGTGGTCCTTTGCTGTCGCAACCATCACTGAAATCCCCCCTGTCATCTTTCTCCCCAACTTCCTTGTGCAAAGGAAGGTGCTGAAGCCCCTTCGGACCCAGACAGGAGGAACCATAATGGTAGGTGGGGAGGCAGGTGGGAGGAACAGCTGGGCTGGGGACCCCACACCCGGGCTCCTTCCCACCTCTGGGCCTTTGGAATCTCCATCCGGAATGCCCTCCTCCCACCCAGCCATTGAACAAAATCCTAAATATTCCTCAACAGCCAGCAACAATGACTCTCCCAAAGCCTTTCCCATCGCAGGCATTGGGATTCATTGTTCCTTCCCCATGACCTCCTTTTAGAGTGACCATATTTGCTGGCATGTAAGATATATCCCCGTCCCCTAGAGAGTGTATCCGGAAACCAGGGCTCCAGTGTGCTCAGATTTAAGATAGAAAACCAAACTCTTCAATGATGGAGGATGCTGCCCTCACCCGCCATCGCGGGTGTGTCAGTAAAGAATATTCACCGCAATATCAGGTTTTACATCTGTGTTCAGTTTTCTTTAGAATTGGTCACAGGCTGCCAACTTGATTGGAGCTAGAGGAACATTTCACATTTAAATGTATGATAACCTAATCCAGACCTAGATCAATACCTATGGATCCCTTTAGTTTTCTTTTTTAGCTTTGCAAATTTGTACATCTTTTTCACTTATTAGAATATTACTGTCCACCCCAAAACTATGAGTTCCTACAGGATTTCAGCATTCAGTCTGCTGTATATCCATGAACAAAATATTGTTTGTTTTCCCTTTGAAAGCCACATTAAAATCATTGTCAACTCATGTGATCATGCATACTTAACTTTTATTTCCTCCAATTTCCTTGCAAAATTGCAAAGGGGCTTATGCATTACACATCTTATACGCCAGTAGATCTGCACTTGCTTCCAGGAATGATGCTGAATTTGCTGGGGGAGTGAGTGTCTCTTATACTCCCATCTAAGAGCTCACTACCACCTCAGAGCTGGCTGGAAATAGTGTTTATGGAATGAATGGGTGAATCAGTGAATGAGTGAGTGAAGGAATCCGCTGCCCACATCCCTCACTCTCTGCTTATTTCCAAAGGCAGGGAAGCTGGCCGTGGATCGAGGCTGGGCCATCAATGTGGGTGAGTGCCCTGGCCAGCCTGGCCTGGTGGAGTTGGCCTGAGGGGCCCAAGGGGCAGGGAGGGCCAGAAGGAACCTGGAGGTGGCTACTCTGAGTTCAGAGGCTCTGGCCTATGGAATACCCGGAACCTCCTTATTGAATGGTCTGGAGGGGAGTGTGCAGCCACCTGGTGTCTGGGAGGGACCACCCTATGCCTCCATCTGCTGTGGAATCCTTGTCTAAAGGAGCTCCCCAACCCCACTCTCTGCCAGGAAGCCTGTGCCATCCCCTGTGCAGCTCTGAATGGGGCTGAAACCTGCAATTTCAGTGGCTCCCTTGTAAGGCTTCCTCAGCCGCCTGGGCCCAGGACAGCCTGCAGGGGCTTGATCATGTCATGGTGGGTGGACAGGCCTGGGGTCAATACAACCTCCTTCCCAGGGCCCCTGAGGGCCAGCACTCCCCAGTCCCCTGGGTTCTCCCAGGAGGTTGGCTCATGGGATGGCTGCACACATGGTCTTCCTTGTCCCCATCTTTGTCCTTCATGGAAGCACAGCACTTCGCAGTTTGCAAAGCCCTTGACCATCTGGCCTCTCATTTGAACTGGGCAGTATTGTTGTCAGTCCCATTATATCGATGAGAAAACAGACACTGAGGGAAGCCTCGCAGCTTTCTCAGAGCCCCATAGCAAGGACCCCACCACCACCACCACTCCAACCTTGGACTGTGAGCCCTGCAAGGCTGAGGGCAGGGTCTCTTGCATCTTGATATGCCAGGTACCCAGAGTTAGGTCTGGGTTAGTCATGCTGTTATGATACCCTGCTGAGCAAATGCATGAATGATGCATGCCCTGTGTGTCTGCAGCACATGGAAGGTGTGAAGGCCTGGTAGAGATTATGAGGCCTGGTTCTGATCCAGCCTGAAACTTAGTTCTTTTTGAGTTTTAGTTCCACCCTTAGCTAGCTGTGTGATCCTGGGCAAGTTGCTGACCGTCCCTGCCTCAGTTGCTTCATCTATAAAATGGAGATGATGATAGTAGTGCCCCCTCCTAGGGCTGTGAGGAGGCTTCAGGAAGCTCAGTGCCGGTTAGGAGTTCGCTGTTGGCTGTTAGCTCATCAGTATGATCCAGTGACAGCCGCTTGGGTGGTAGAAGAGGCAGGTCCTCTGAGTGCTTTGGCCCTGGCCTCACAGGGCTGGATGAGGCTCCATACCAGAGGCCCCTGCAACTCAGGGTCCTGTACGGGTTGCAGGGGAGTGGTTCTGGGGGCACGGAGACTAGTCACATGGAGGTAGGCCTAGGTCTGGGGGGACAAGGAACAGCTTTCTGCCCTGGTGGGGGGAGGGGGTAACAGGTGCTTGGGGCTGACTTGTTGGGGTTCCCTGAGAGGTTTCTTGCTCTGGGCCGAGCCGGTCCTTCTGACCTGGGATGGTGACATGCCCAGGTATCCATTCACTCTGCTGGTCCGGAGTCCCAGGAGCAGTTCCCGGTTGCTGAGCGGGGAGGCAACACTAGGAGGACGCAGGGGCAGGGTGGGCCTGGGCCATGAGCCTGACCCTGGCCACGCCGTGTCTACCCTTCCACAGGCGGAGGCTTCCATCACTGCTCCAGCGACCGGGGTGGGGGCTTCTGCGCCTACGCGGACATCACGCTCGCCATCAAGGTATGCCCAAGAGCACCCAGGGGAGTGCCTCCCAGAGCCCTCCCTGGAATCCGCCTGCTGCCTCCAACTTGGTGTTCTCACCCCACATTACAAAGAAGGCAGCTGAGGCTCAGAAGGGGAGGAAGCTCACTGGGTCACTCAGCCAGGCTGGGACTCAGACCCTGATGAGACGCTCTCTTCTGTGAGTGAAGGGAGAGTATAGCCTTCAACAGAGGCAGGCTCTGGAGGGGAGCTGCGTCTGTGTCAACAACATAGGCAGCTCCTAAGGAGTGAGGAGGTAGGAATAATAATGGTGGTGGTGATGACAGCAACCCTGTGCCAGCGCCCGTTCTCCATGGCTTTCCTCACTTAATCTTCATGTATACAGATGAGGAAACTGAGGCTCAGAGAGGTGAGGCTACACAGCCAGAAAGGGCAGAGCTGGCACTGGCCTCTGCGACCCCAGAGCTCCCCCTGCCCAGCCTGCACCTGGCCTCATGCTGGGCTTCAGGAACAGGCGGGAGGTTTGTAGGCACACAAACTAATGGGGGGCGGGGCAGGTCGACACATGCCATTTGGAGCTTTCTCTGGGGAGCAGGGGTGGGGAAGGGGGGCTTCCTGGAGGAGGAGACATTAGAACTCTGTCTTGTAGGGTGTTCTGTAAAGCCTGCAGAACAAAGTTCCAGGCACAGCCTTGAGGGGAGGCCCTCCCACCAATCTCCACATGCTTCCTGGGAATCCTTGGCTTCCACTGAGGGCCGGGCCACTCCTGGCCTCTGGCCCTTCAGGGCACGGCACACGCCCCCTCCTCCAGGGGGCCCGACTATGCACACATGCCTCTCTTGGCCACACAGCTGTCCTGGGCATGTGACATCTCAGCCCCATGGAGGACTCTTTGAGGTCTCTCCGGGTCATGCACAAGTACGCACTGCCTGTCACCCTCCCTGGCACCAGCTGGGAGTCCCGGAGGTGCTGCATCTTCTAGCCTATCTGGGTCCTCACCTCTCCCCTCTCCTCCCCTGGGCAGTTTCTGTTTGAGCGAGTGGAGGGCATCTCCAGAGCCATCATCGTTGATCTCGATGCCCATCAGGTAAGTGCCCCCTGGGGGCTGGGGTCTCACGGCCCCGCCTCCCCAGGCTCTACCCCTGTGCTCCCCATCGGCCTCTGCCTGTCACACAGCCCCACACTGTGGGCTCCCCTCCCCCTAGGAACACCCCTGAGCGCCCAGCCAGGCCTGTGCCACCTGCACCCTGACCTGCCGTCTCTCTCCCTGCTGCCCTCCCTCTGAGTCTCAGGCTGGAGGGGGAGGGTCTGTCTGTGTCCCTCTGCCCCGCCCAGCCCAGCGTGCATCCCTCTCAGTGCTCCTGTCAAATCCCAGGTCCTCCCTCCCTCCTCCTAACTGCCCACACACCAGGCTCTTTGCTCTGCTGAAAGCCAGTCTGGCATTGCTGCTCCCATGCTCCAGACCCTGCCATGGCTCCCCAGTCCCTCTGAGTCAGTTTGGGGTGCTCACCCCCTGCATGAAGCTGATGACCACTGTGGCCTTGCCCCTCTGACAAATGCTCACAAACACGATTTCAGAGTTGTTCAGGCCCAAGGCCACTGCCTGAGAACTCACTGCCTGGGGTGAAGCCCCAGTGCGCTGATCTCCTCCTCAGGACTCCAGTGCAGGCTGGCTCCCTGGCCAGACGGGGCAGGGCATTGCACCGGCTCTCGAAGGCCCCTCCCACACTATTGCTGTTGAGCCTTCATGCTGGTTAGGGACCTGCTCCAAGGTGATGGGACACTGAGCTTCTGAACAGGTCACATGCACACAGCCCTTTACAATTAACATTCCATATCCCTGATCCCAGCTGATCCCACCACACACTTCAGAGGGTGATGGGGCAGAATGCCTGCCTGTTCCATGGAGAAGAAACAGACAAGGCTGGCGCTCCCGCAAGGTCATCCTAGAAGGTCATGGACCAGATTTTGAGGTTGAATCCCAGATCTGCCACTCAATAGCCATGATGCTTTCTGTCCCCGAGGGCAGACTGTGCTTCCCCGGCACATGGGGGCATTTCCTGGGGTGTTGGGGGGGATCCTGGCCTTGACAAGGGCATCTGCCAGCGGCTGGCTTTTGTGTCCTCCCCACAGGGCAATGGGCATGAACGGGACTTCATGGGTGACAAGCGTGTGTACATCATGGACGTCTACAACCGTCACATCTACCCTGGGGACCGCTTTGCCAAGCGTAAGCTGCTCCCATTTCTCAGCCTTAAATGTTCCCTTGCTGGGGGTGAGGAGGGGCTCTCCTGAGTATTTCCTACTTGCTGGGCCCTGCAGAAGTCACTTCATTTATCCTCCTTATGAGGTGGGGATCGTTCCCATTTTACAGATGAGTAAACTGAAAGCTAAAGAAGCCACCCAACCCTCCGGCGATCACATAAACCTGCCCAATAAACACACGTGTGAGCCCTTACGTTAGGGGCTAACCCCCAGAAGGATAAAAGAAAGCCCTCTTCTAGGCATGCGTCTGCCTGCTAGAAAACAGAGTGACAAAGAAGAACCAAGAGGGAAAATATGATAAGTAAAAAATACAAAATATGATGGCAGAAATCAGTTCAAATATAATAGTTAAGTGCAGGTGGGTTAAACTTACAGTCAAAAGGCAGAGACACTCAGATAAGCTTTGAAAACACACTGGGGGTGAGTAGGGGACATCTATGCAGGAAGGGGACATTTATGCTAATGAGCCTGCTGTAAGTCACTAGGCTACTGGTGGGGCCCAGGGGCCCCGTTTCTGAACTGAATCGTGAATGTGCTGGATTTGGGCAGGAGAGCATAGTGGGGTGTCCCCATGTCTGGACAGGGCTTCCGGAGGCAGTCAGATCAGATGTTGCCCACAGGGGTCCTTAAGTCCCTGGGGCAAAGCATTTCGTCCACAACACCCCCATCCTTTGGGTTCCCCTTTTCAGTGCCTGGTGCTCTTTTTAGCCTTTGGGTGAAATGAAAGGCTGAGCAGTGCTGGAGTCAAACCAGTCTCCAGTCCTGTCTTGGGTCCTGAAAGGCACCCGGGTGATCTCTGCTCTCCAGAGCCTCAGTTTCCCTTCTCTTCACATGGGGGCTATTCCTCTCGCCATCCCAGAGGCCATCAGACGGAAGGTGGAGCTGGAGTGGGGCACAGAGGATGAAGAGTACCTGGATAAGGTGCGGAGGAACCTCGAGAAAGCACTCCAGGAGCATCCGGCCGACGTGGTGGTGTACAATGCGGGCACTGACATCCTTGAGGGCGACCGCCTTGGGGGGCTGTCCATCAGCCCCCAGGTATGTCCTGATTCTGGGGGCCGGGTGGGGTCTGCTCTGGGAACTCAGCCACAGGAAAGGTGGGCACAGCAGAGCTCCTCCTGCTGTCAGGGGGGATGGGCAGGAACAGCACCTGTCAGGGCAGGGCGGGACCCGCAGCAGGACTTCTAGTACTGCAAGGATCCCAGCCTGCCTGAGGCCAGCCCTCACCATCCCTCCACAGGGCATCATGAAGCGGGACGAACTGGTGTTTCGGGTGGTCCGCGGCCACCAGGTGCCAATCCTCATGGTGACCTCCGGTGGGTACCAGAAGCGCACGGCCCGCATCATCGCCGACTCCATCCTTAATTTGTATGGCCTGGGGCTCATTGGGTCCGAATCACCCAGTGTCTCAGCACAGAACTCAGACACACCTCTGCTGCCCCCGGAGGTGCCCTGACCATGCAGCCCTCCTAAGCAGCTCCCTGTCTGCCTCTGCCCGGCCCTACCCTCAGTGCTTCTCCTTTTCTAACCGCACAGGGTGCTGGGGGCAGCGTCAGGGGTGCTGAGGGACAGGGCCCTGTCCCGGCCTGGTCTGGCCTTAGGGGCCTCCCGAGGGCAGCTCCCCCACAGTCCCCACTGGATGTTGGAGGGTCTCCAGGCCCCTGCGTGGGTGGGAGCAGAAAGCAGGGCCTGAGCCCCTGGAAGGCCCCACATGGGGTCACGGGTCTGCCCAGGCACTGCAGAGGCAGGCAGTTTGCCCAGAAGGAAGGAGGGCAGGTGAGGTCATAGGGAGGCCCCCAGGGATTAGGGTGTCCTGGTTTTCAAAAATGGCAGACACATTTCAGAAAGAATAAGCTTCCATTTCTGCCATGGTTGGGCCTTTCCCCCTCCTCTTCAGTCATGTGACTTGTTCCACTTTCTCCTCCTGCTGCAGGCAGGGTAAGAGGCACTGTGGGCGCCCGTTGGAGTGGGCTGGGGAGCCACATGCCAGAGGCAGACCTCTGTGGGGGCCCTGCATTCCTGGCCGGCAGGCAGGAGGCCTGGTCCTGGACGTGAGGGCGCTGGGGTCGGGGGTTCAGGGGGTTTTCCCATCTGGCATCCCCCTTCAATAAAGCAGGAGTTGGACCTGCTTTCCCAGAGCCCCTCAGTGGTGATGAGGGGAGGGGAGGCCTGAGGAGCCCCGAATCCATGGTTCAGCAATGTCTTGCCTGTTCAGGTGAAGTGGCAGGTTTTGGGGGCAGAATACTTGACTCAGGGATGGGCCTCAGCACTGGGGCTTAAGGGGCGCCTCACCGTGGTGGTGAGGTGGCAGGAGAAAGGTGAGGCACAGCCAGGAAAACTAGGATGTGGGCAGGTGGAAGCTGGGTCTGCAGAGTGTGAGGCCCCAGGCAGGGACCACGGGGCCGGGGAGGCCAGGCGGGGCCTCCTGGAGGGAGAGCAGAGGGTCCCCGTCACGGCCTGCGGGTCGTAAGGGTAGGGGCAGTGGTGGGGCCCTGGGTGGGGCTGCAGCCGCCATTGGCCGCACCCAGAGTACCCAGGTGGTGGTCATCTCCCTGACCGTGGTCCCAAGTGGGCCCTGACCTCTGATCTGAGAGATGCCCAGACCCTGACCTTGTCCTGAACTCTACTCTGAAGGGGACACTTGGGGCCCTAGGGAGCTGGGGGGGCATCACCCCTCCATTGCCTGGGTGTGTTCTTAATGATCAAAGGTGGGGGTGCGGTGGACCTGGGCCATCCCCATTCCTGACCAGCCCCATCTGTGGCACTCGTGTTCATTACCATCTGGGGGTACCCCTGCAGCATTGTCCTTTCTCCCTCACCTCTCCCTCTCCTGGGGAGAGGGGTTCCAAGACCACCAACGGTCAAAAGCACTGAGGTCCTGGACCAGACCCCGAGGCACTGACCACACACTTGGACCCCCTCCCCTGCCCCCTGCCCTTGCTGCCATCCTATCTGTATCTGACTCGAGGCGCCTAACATCCCTTCATCTCCAACTCAGGCATGCGTCTCCTGGGGGCAGGCGGTGGATACGCTTTGTCACTGTTGAGCTTCTGTTTGTAGAGAACCATAAAGACTGCTCTTGATCGGACCTGGCTGCTGTGTGTTCTTGAGGTGAAGAGTCCCTACCGCCTGAGCATTAAAGGAAACAAAAATTTTAAGTTCACGTTGCGCAAGGCCTGACATGGCCTAGCAGTCCAACAAGGGCTAATATTTTGTTCCATTCTCAGAATCCTATGAAATAGGTCATCATTCCCATTTTACAGATGAGACAACTGAGACTCAGCGAGGAATTCACCCCAGGCCCCACATCTAGTGAGAGGTAGAGCCGGGTTTGAACCAAGCCCTGCGGGATTCTGAAGTGTGTGTTCTCAGCTGCCTCATGTTTGGCAGGGGTGAGCGAGGGAGGGGGGTGTTACCTCCAGGCAGGGGAGGCTTCAGGGTCCCAGCAAGTGTGGGGGTGGGAGGCAGGCAGGGCTGGGCTGTGATGGTGGCTCTGCACAGTCAGTCAGTTGGGGGGCAGGGGGAGCTTCCTGTTCTGGACTGTGTAAAAGCATGCATGGGGATGGGCTGGGCTGGGTAGAGGGGTCCCGGCCATGAGGAGCAGGACTTTGTCCTCACCTTGGCAGAGTGACCAGGGCATCCCTAGGGTTAGTGGCACAGCCTGGCTGGGGAGCAGGGTGGCCCCTTGAGGGTCAGTGCCAGGGACAAGGACATTAGACAAAGACATCAAGGGGTGGTGGGCAGGGGTCCAGCTCAGCCCTCAGCAGGAATTACCTATTGAGCCACACCCTGCAGTAGGAGTTATTGTCGCCTGTTTTACAGATGCAGACACTGGGGGATAAACAGAGCTAGTCAGCTGTGGGCTTTGAGCGGGAAAGCAGGATTTGAACCGTGGTCTCAGCTCCAGAATCCCTGGGCTGTTTCTTCATCTGCAAAGCTGGGTCCTTGATGATAGCTACCCGAAGGGCAGTTCCAGAATAAATGCCTCAACGCGCGGAATGCGCTCAGGGTACCGTGCAGCCTTAGGCGGGGCCGGCCACGATGATGATGGTCCTGGAGGCCAGATGGCAGAACCAAAGGGGGTGAGGTGACGTGTTTGGGGCCTGCTCTTAAGACCTGAGCATTTTGCTGTTTGTAAATTATACCCCAAGTTGTAAAAGCCCAAGGGGAACCCGCCAACTTCATGCGGTGGCTGAGGGTCCAGAATGGCAGCCCTGGCTGCCCTTGTGGGTGCTGTGGCCCAGCGTGAGCATGGGGACAGGTCTGGGCAGGCACGTGCTACAGGGAGCATGGGGGGTGGAGGCAGGCCAGCTTGGGAAAGCGCCGCAAACAGGAGCCCACCGTGACAGCCCTGAGGCCTGGCGGCTGTGGGATGTCTGCCGAAGGCCCCAGCCAGCGCCTGATGGGGTGTGGCTTCGGAGTTTACCCGGAGCTGCAGAGTGGACAGTCCTTTTGGCCCAAGCCCACCACGTGGGGCGCCCTGCCATGCCTGCTCCTGGGCAAGTGACTTAGCCTCTCAGTGCCTTCTTCCCCAGCTGTCCTGAGGAAGGGTCAGTCCTGAGCTCGCAGGGCTAGAGCAGGTGTGGGTGTGATGACGCTAGCTGCAGCTCAGACCCTGGCTCCAACTAGGTGCTGTGTAAACACAGCTTCCCTCCCCACTCCTCCCCTTCGATCCTGGCACATGCCTGGCTGGTGGGCCCACTGAGGCCTGGGGAAAGGGGTTTCATCTTCCAGAATCAGCTCTGCTTTCTATTTGGGGCCAATTGAGGAGCCCTAGGGTATTGGAAACAGCACATCCAGCTGTAACTCAGCACCCCCCAGGATCATGCCTGAGGCTAGGGCTAGTAGGGCCCCAGTTGGGGGCAGAGACGGGAATGAATGTAACCAGCCTCCTGCCTCAGGTGTAAACAGGTGGGTGCTGGCCCAGGGCCCCTCCCAGCCTAGGGACACTCAGGCGGATCTGAAGACTTAGGATGTCTGCCTGGCTCCTCAGCCGAATGCTGGGGTTCAGGGCCAGCAGCTCCTCCAGGGTGGCCTGCCTGTGAGTTGGTTTCATTTAGCTCAGCCATCACTAGCTGGGGACACCCTGCTCCAGACCCAGGGCCAATGTAGGGGCCAAGTCTTCCTGGGAGCGTATTATCTCCTGATTGTTGGCGAGGCCACAGAGTGCAGTGGTTAATGCATGGGCTCCTGTCCCTCACCGGCCTGGCATTGAGTTCCACCTCCTCCCCTTGCTGGCTGGTGACTTTACCTCTCTGTGCTTTAGTTTACTCATCTGTAAAATGGGAATGACAGCACCTACCTCATAGGGCTGTCATGCGCATTTAATGAGTTAATATTTGTAAAGTGCTTAAAGCAGTGTCCAACATAGAATTTTTGATCTTAAAAATAAAAGTCAGTGACTGCCAGCAAAAAAGGATTAGTTTGGGAACAGCAGTTTCATTTCTGCCACCACCCCGGAGCATTTTCTTCTGTATCTCCTTGTCGCTATTGGAGTTCAGGCACAGTTGGAGCCCCTCCATGAGCTCTGTGGAGAGGGCTCTGGAGAAAATACTCAGACTTAGGAGTTGGCCAGTTTGGGCTGGACCCTAGGCAGGTGGCATCCCCTCTCTGAGGCTCGCTTCTCCCTCACCAGAGGACTGTATGAGATGACGGAGGTGGGGCTGGCATGTTGCCTCTGGGTCATTTGGGGATAGAACTGAGGTCCCAAGGATGAGTGTGGGAAAGGCCCTCCTGTCTCCCTGTCCAACCTCTTGTAGCATGGAGAAATGGAGGCCTGGAGAGACAGGGGAACTTGCTTCCTGCAGGAGCTGGGACCACAGGGAGGCTGTGTGCACAGTGGTTAGAGCTTGGATTTGCTTCCCAGCTCGGCCACTCACTAGCTGTGCAGCCTCGGGAAAGGTGAACCACCGCCCTGAGCCTCAGGCCTTTCTCCCATGAGATGCTCTGGCATAGGCCAGTGATCAGTTGATATTAACTGATAATATTATTCAGGTAGGAATGAGGCAGGACATCTCCACAGCCAGAGCTGGCCAGAGATCACCATAACATCAGGCAACACAGCGCAGGTTTCTGGGTTCACAGTGCGGCGCAAGCACCAGGCATGTACTAAATGGCTCCATCCTCACACAACTGTTTGCAGATGAGGAGAGAGGCCCAGGGAGGGTTGGCTTCCTAGCCAGCATCCACTCCCCAGCTCACCCCAGAGCGTGGCGCCCAGCTGGCTGGATGCGCCCCACCTTTGGGTGCCCCATGGGGCGTGACCTCCCCTCCCAGAAGGCGTAGTGGTGAAGGCCTGCACATCAGGGCGAGGTCTAGCTAGGAAGCTTCTGGGACTTCCCACCCTCTTTCCGCCTCTGAGTGCGAGTGTGTGCCCTGGCCTTGGAACTCTGTGGAAGGCACCACACTCGAGGGGGTTCTGCTGGGGTAGGGGGCACGGGCCCAACCAGCCAGCAGCCCACTCCCTTCTGGGACCCTCAAGCCAGCACACACAGCAGCCTGTCGGTTGTCCTGGTAACTGATACCCAGGCGGCCAAAGTTATGGTGTGTGGCTGGGAGGCTATTTTGTCTAATATGCTAAAAGGCTTTTGGAAATTCCTGGAGCCCATCTGGTCCTAGTTACACCACAATATTGCTGTCTCTTCAGCTTGCAGACAAGGGAACACTTTTATTTCTCCTTTCAGAGCTTAGGAATGTGCCTTAAACGGAGGCCACAGGCCGGCCGCCACCCATTTGGTTCCCCAAGATCCTTGATCATGTGTCGGACGCATCATCCTTTTAAAGGCCCACGGCTCCTTCCTCTTGGCTTCCTCTTCCTCCTCTCTCCACCCCAACTGACTCCCAGGTGTCCTCAGGGGCCCAAGGGGAGGGCGGAGGCTTTGGAGGTGGGCCTGCCCGTCTTTGCAGTGTGCCCCCCACCTCTGTGCAGTCTCGCCTATGTTAACAGAGATAGGAACTCCTGAGGTGAACGCAAGCCTACTATGTGCCATGTGCTTAGTAAATACAGTCTCCTAACTGGCTCCATGAATCTGAAAACGTTTCCAGACCCATCCAAGTGCCAGTAGCCTCTGTAAAATGGGGTCTGCAAGTCTAAGGGATGTCAGTCATTCGTGACTCACCTGGCTCCTCTGCCCACCCACAGCCACCCCAGGAAACAGAAGGTGAAACAAATACAGAGGTTCTGCCCCTGAAACATCCCTGAGGAGTCCAGGCCGCTTATGAGCTTTCCCTGGGCCAGAGGGTGTGTGTGTTTCTTCCCCAGCGTTCGGGTCCCTCCCGGTTCCTTGGGGCTCCTGCAGCTGCAGGGTCCCGAGGCTGGGCGTGGTTGCCCTGTGCTGTCTGGCTACACATGGCCCTCCCACTCTGGGCTGACTGACTCCTGGCTGCTACCCTGGCATTTGTGTGGGGGCAGCTGGCACGCTCCCTTCTTCCTTGAGGACCTCCCATCCCTCAGTCCCAGGCTGTAGCAATCAGAGTCCCCTGCCTGCCCCAGCCAAGCCCCTGCTACCCCAAGAATAGAATGTGATTCAAGTTCACATCAGCCTAGGTCATCCCCTCCTGCCAGTCCGGGGCAAGGCTGTATCTTTCTGCCCTCTGAAGTTGGGTGTGGCCATGAACTTGCGTTTATGAATTGTGAGCATAGTGGTTGTGTGTCTCCCAGGTGGATGCATTCTGAGCCTGTGGACAATTACCTGAGTGCCCTCTCCTTTGCTGTGGTGATGATGGGAGCACGTTTTGAGTCATAGCATCTGTTAGTCTGGGTCCCCAGAAGCCCAAGGTGAGTAGAGTCCCCAGTCAAACTGGGTTGGACATTCAGTGTGAACAAGAAATAAAACTTTGTTGTTTAAGCTATTGAAGTTTTGAGTGGCTTGTCATATAGCATAACCTTGGCCATCCTGACTGATATACACCCTGTTTCCTTGATGACAAGGATGCTTTAGTGATGCAGTGTGACTCAAGCTGGACTAGAGTCCTTACTTAGACTTTGTTATTTGGGGCAGGAGAGAAGGGACTTTGTCTTGCGAATTATATGGAGCAGTCATATTTCAATCACAAAGATAAGGCCATCTAAGGTATGAAAGAGTGAAA